GGGGCACAGAGATTGCAGCCATCCTCCAGAGCCATGGCTGGTGATAATTCGATGGCAGCCAATGGCAGCCGTCCCGCGAGGCCGGGGGCGGCAAGCGCGCAGCCATTTGTGCGTGTGGCGGGGGCGGCGGACGGCTGCCATCGAATTATCACCAGCCATGCTCCGGAGGATGGCTGCACTGACTGTGCCCCAGCCATAGTAGATGGCTGAACTGGCTTTGGCCCAGCCATCTTACCCAAGATGGCTGCGATGTAGCCAGCTCAGCCATGAGGGCCCGCCCCGGGGCGTGCGGTATGGCTGCAGTAGTGCGTCTCCAGCCATCCCTACTCAGGATGGCTGCCCTGTGTGTATTGCAGCCATCGGCCTGGAGGCTATGGCTGCGCTGTAGCTAGCTCAGCCATCCTTAGGTAAGATGGCTGTGAAGGAGCCAGCACAGCCATTCTGGTGTCACATTCCGAGGTTAGCCGGAAGTGGCAGAGGCGTCCGAGCCGTCTCGGAAGGGGTTCTCTTAGGGCGTTTTGGCCCCTTTTCGCGTCCAGCCCAGTGGCGCTCACCGACTTGGCGAGAGCGCTCGGCGCCACCGACGCCACGCTGTCCGACGTGCTCGGGCTGGAGGACGATCTACTGGCGCTCCTTCCTTCGCCGTGCCTCGCACTGATCCTCATCTATCCCACGGTCAGCGCGGCAGAGAGCTTTTTTGGCAGAGCGTTGCGAGCCTTCGAAGCGTCGCCCGGTCTTCCTGCGGCAGCGTGTGGGCGGCTCGTGCGGCACCGTCGCACTCCTCCACGCGCTCTCCAACAGCACGCCGGCGCTCGCTGTTGAGCCGGGATCGCCACTAGAGGAGCTCCTCTCCACGCCAGAGCCGGGCGACGGCGAGGCGGCGCTCGTCGCACGACACTCCGAGTGGCTGGCGAACTCGACTGCGGTGCGGGCGGCGCATGAGCGGTGTGCGGAGCTCTCTACCGCGGCTGCAGCGGCGGGGCGTCAGGGCCGGCACTACGTGGCGCTGGTCCGGATAGGCGCGCAGCGCTGCGCGTCCATGCTGTCGCTCCCCGCGATAATGATGATAACGCTCTGGCTACTGACGACGCCAGTGCTCCTGAAAAGGACCACGCCGGATGTGTGCGCGCTCTCACGGAGCACGCAACGGCACTGAGGGAGGCCGAGGCGGCAGAGAAGGCGCTCGAGGCCAAGGGGCGGCGCGAGCAGCGCGAGCGGGAGGCGGCGGCGGCGGCGCGGGAGCGCGAGCAGGCTGCGCGCCGGCGCGAAGCAGAGCGAGAGGCGCGCGAGGCGCGCCGGGCGGCGGATGCGGCGGCGCTGGAGGAGCAGAGGCGAGCCATTGCGGCAGAGGCGGAGGCGAAGCTGGCTGCTGAGCGCGCGGCAGCAGAGGAGACGCTGCGGGCGAGGGAGGTGGAGAGGCGAGCAGCAGAGGCGGCGCAGCTTGCGGAGCAGCGGGTGGCGGCGGCGGAGCGCAAAGCTGCTCAGGCAGGGACGGCGCGAGAAGGAGGCTGCTGACAGGAGGGCGGAGGAGGAGAAGGCGAGGCGGCGCGCAAAGGCGGCGGAGGCAACTGCAGCCAAGAAGGAGGCCAAGATGAAGAACAATAAGGCCAAGAAGGCGCCGCCTGCCTTCAAGCTCGAGGAGGAGCGGAGGGCGCGGGCTGCGGCAGAGGTTCGCGCACAGGAGGAGAGGGCGGCGCGGCTGGCTGCTGAGCAGGAGGCGGCGAGGCGGGCGAAGCGGGAGGCGGCGGAGCTAGCGGGTGCGGCGGAGCAGGCGGCGCTGCGCGAGGCTGCGGAGCTAGCAGAGGCGTTTCGCCGGTCAGAGATAGATGCGGAGGAGGAGGCTCTGGCGCGCCGGGTGTCGCGGTGCGAGGAGGCGGTGAGCAGCGAGTCGGCCGGCGGCGGGGACCTGATGCGGCGTGTCGACCGGCTGGAGGCCAGCTTGGGCGCGGCGATCGAGGGTCGCCTCAAGGAGCGGGTCGGCGCCATCGAGCGCTTGATCGGGCCAGAGGCAGCCGAGGCGGCGGGGCAGCATCTGCCAGTCACCGAGCCGCTTGCTGCCGTCTCGCTAGCGGACGCCGGCCTCGACACGGGGCGGCCGGCCCCCGAGTCCACGATGGGGGGAGAGACCACGTGTATCGTGTGTTTTGCGAGAGTCAAGTCGCATGCTGCGGTTCCGTGCGGGCACTTGTGCGCTTGCGGGCCATGCTCTGAGCTGATGCGAGAGTGCCCTTACTGCCGCTCGAGCCAGTGATGATGTGGATGGTCCCGCGCCCCCAGTCTAGATTCCTTTACCGCACCGCCCCTCTGGGGCCAGAATGATGCATGTAAGAGTTGTGAGAGCGATATATGTCGAGGGTGCACACACAGGACACAGCGTAGAAATCCAAAATATGTGAGGAAAGTAAGAACGATTTCCCGCACGAACGACGCGCGCGCAAAGCTCTTAGAGACTAGGTTTTTCCGCGCGCGCCCAGCGCTCAGAGCGGCTCGCTCACGCGCAACTCCACGTCGTCGACGTCGGGGAGGAGGGGGAGCAGCTCGAGCGGCGGCGGAAGGGCGGTCAGCAGCACCGACTCGCCGCTCGAGGGCGCGTGGCACGAGACGCGCACGTGCGGCCCGAAGCCGTGCTCGACACGAAGCATGTGCAGCAGGTCTGCAAGCGACTGGCCTGGCGCGAGGGCGACCAGGCCGCAGGGAGGCGGCGTCTCCCCACCGCCGCCGCCCGGAGGCAGCTTGACGACGGGCACGTCGCGCAGCGCGGTGGCGAACTCGTCGACGGCGAAGTTGGCGTGCCACTGCGCCTTGTTGCCCTTTGGAGCGACGATGGCGGCGCCCGCTTGCTCGGCGGCGATCAGCGAGTTGGCGCGCGCGAGGGCAACCTATGGCGACCATATCGCCATGTCACCACCGCCACCACCGCCTTCCAGTGTCGCGTCGTCGGCGCGCGAGAGCGCTGGCCTTTGCGCTCGCCGAGCGCGACATCTTGATCTCTTGCCACAGCACCTCCTGCTGCGCCAGCTGCGCCTTCTCCTTCATCGAGGTGCGGCGCGAGCACGTCACCTGAGCCACACGCACCGCCACCTCCCCCACCGCTCGACTCATCTCTCCCCATCTCTCCCCATCTCTCACCTGAGCCACACGCACCGCCACCTCCCCCACCGCTCGACTCATCTCTCCCCATCTCTCCCCATCTCTCCCCATCTCTCACCTGAGCCACACGCACCGCCACCTCCCCCACCGCTCGACTCATCTCTCCCCCAGCTAGATCTCGGCTGATCTCGCCGCCTGGATCTGGCACAGCCCCAAGTGGTTGTTTGGGAGTCGGCAGCCCATGTTGCCGCAGATCGAGCCGGCCCGCGGCTCGCCCGCGCCGCCCGCCGCCCCCTCCTCCTCCTGCGTGATGAGGACGCCCACATGAGGGCGGGAAGACGGTACTGTGCAGCGTCCTCTGAGCACCGCGCGTGAGGGCGAGGGAGGCGAATACGGCAACACGGCGGAAGACGGTTGGATACAGCGGAATGCGCCTCCTCTCGGGCGCTGGTTGGGAGACAAGAATGCGCGTGTCTTCTTCTAGGCCCCCTCCTCCTCCTCGCCGCTGAGAGGCTGCCTCTCAGGGTAGTACGACCAGAGCGGCGGCCTCGGCCGCACGGCGCGCAACGGCAGCCAGGACCAGTTGGCGTACCGGTCGTACTCGAACAGGACGCCCTTGAGCGCGTCGAGCTCGCGCACGCACCCCTCCCACCAGCAGTCATTCCACAAGCCCTCCACCCGCTCCCCCACTCGCGGGGTCCATGGCGCACCTGCGCCGCAACGGTGTGTGTCGTCAGGCCGCTAGAGCGGCGCTCTCGGGGGAGGGGCTCCTCCTTCCGCTTCTCCTTCCCCCCCCTGCAAGGCGCAAGACACACACGTCGCCCCTTCGACTCTCGAGGGTTGCCCGAGGGGAGATATGGGGGAGATATGGGGGAGATATGGGGGAGATATGGGGAGATATGGGGGAGATATGGGGGAGATATGGGGGAGATATGGGGAGACTCTCGAGGGTTGCCCGAGACTGCGCCGCCCTCAAGCGCACCGTGCGGCGGCTGGATCTCCCCCATATCTCCCCCATATCTCCCCCATATCTCGCCCTCAAGCGCACCGTGCGGCGGCTGGATCTCCCCCATATCTCCCCCATATCTCCCCCATATCTCGCCCTCAAGCACACCGTGTGGCGGCGGGACCAGCCGCAACCTTTCCAACTCGAGCCTCTCCACGAGCCGCGAGCCAACCTCGTCCACAAACTCGGCGAAGCGGACCATCGCGTGGCGTGGCCCATCCAGCACGAGCACCTGTCATTATTCTCATCACTCTCATTAGGAGTATCATTCTTGTTCTTCTTGCGCCCATCCAGCACGGCACCTCTGCCGCCGTCCACGAGCCCTCGAACCCCTTCCCTCTCCACGCGACCTCCACGGCGTCACCCGGCCGCCAGCGCGGCCGGAAGGAGCCCCTGCCCTGCACGCGCGCCATCGCTTGCTCATACGCCTCCTCGCACGAAGGCCGTCCGGGCGGCTCCTTGAGCCACGAGACGCCGCAGTAGCGAGGGGCGGGGCTCGCCGCCGCCGCGGGGATCCGCCGGAGCGGCGCCGCCGGCGCCGCCGCCGCCGACTGCCGATGCGCGTCTGAGGAGGCCGCGGAGGAGGAGGCTGAGGAGGCGGCCGCGGCGGCCGGCCCTGGCTCGCCGTTGCGGCGCTCGCTGAGGCCGCCGGCCGTGTCGCCGCCGCCGCTCGCCGCCGCGGCCGCCCGCCCGCCCGGCGCGATCCGCTTCTTGCTCGCGCGCCTGCCGCCCGCCCCGCCCTTGCCTGCGCTGCTGCCGCCGCCGCCTGCGCTCGCCGGCCGCTTGCTGAGCGTCGGCGTCGGCGGGCGAGAGCCGTTATTGTCGGAGAAGTGCGCCGAGGCGCGTGGCTCCGTCGCCGGCCCCGGCGGGTCGATCGCGGTGTTCGGCTGCAGCAGAGGGTCCGTCACCTCGCGGCACTGCGGGCAGCGGACATAAAAGTGTCTCTTGCCGGCCGCCGCGCTGCAGTCGCCGTGGTCGCGCGGGATGGTGACCTCGGAGACAGTGCTGCATTTTGGGCAGCTCAGGCGGATTCGTGTGCCGGGCAGCAGCTCTGTTGACGACGTCATCGAGGGCCACAATTAGGCCGCACAAAGCTTGCAGAGAGGGGTGCCCGGGGCGCCGAGAGGTGCCTGTGGCGCTCAATGGCGGACAGGAAGAATTTTATCGGCCACACTTTCGATAGACCGAAAGTAAGATCGTTCGGTGCAGAAACGCCGGCCATGCCCATGTAACGCACTTGTGCTCGCTTTTTTTATTTTTTGGTTTAGAAGTGTCTCCAAGTCTCTGGACCCATCGATGGCCGTCGCCTCGACGCCGCTCGTCGCGGCACCATCGTGCCCGGCCTGGGCGAAGCGTCGTCGCGGGTTCCCGCCGCAGTTCGACGGCAAGCCGTGCGAGCCTGCCGAGGAGGAGGACATGTGGCTGTGCAGAGCCGACGGCCGCGCGCGCAGCACCGCCGACCTGAAGCGCCTGGCGACCGCCGCTCGGGTGCGAGCGAAACGAGCAGGAGATGCAGCCGCCGCGAACACGCGCGATCGGCAGGCGCGCGACCAGCGCCGCCGGCAGCGTGAGCAGCACGACCGGCGCGCAGCGCCGGCGGTCGCCAAGACCGTGCGCCCACAACGCGGCCAGTGCGGCTGCCCGGCGCACGCGGTGTGCGGCATGTGCGTCGACCAGGGCAAGCTCGCCGCGGCCGAGCAGGCGGCCATCGACCTGGAGACGCGCTTCCACGCCTCGACGAACGTCGTCATGGACCTGGAGCGGCCCGAGGACGAGACGGCGGCGCTGCTGCAGCGCTGCGTGCACGTCTCCGACGAGACGAAGCGGCGGCTGCTGGGCGAGTGGAGCGACGAGCGCATGGCGCACGCGCTGCCGCTGCACGCATGCGCCTCGTGCGGCGTGCGGGACCCGTCGCTGACGTACACGCGGGTTGACGTGTCGGCGCTGCCGCGTACTGTGTCTGTGCGCGTAGCCGGCGGCGAAGACGAGACGCGGCACGTGTTTGAGCTCTCGCCCGAGCAGTGCGCTAAGTATCGAGGTCTTCAAAACAAAAAGGTGCGCCTTGCGTTTCCCAACGGCGCGAAAGGAGTTGCGGTGTTGATCGCCGCGGGAGCCCTCTTATCAAACGAACACCAGAAGAATTTTACAAACCCGCACGACACTTGGGTTGTGTCTGTTTTGTAGTCGGTGTTCTTTCTTTCTTTCTTCTGGGCAAGAAGAATTGCGAATCTCGTTTTTTCTGGGAGCACGAGCAGGGTCCAGGGAAGGTACGTGACAGGTCCAAAAACATGTCCACAACAAAACAAACCCTCCAGCGGCCCCCCAACGCCCCCCCCGCGGCCCTGATTTGGTAGGTATATCACACAAATGATGGGTCACTATAATACCCACGACCCAGGGTACCGGAGCGTCGCTGAACCGCATGGAGGAAGCGGTGCCGCTGTGCCACCTCGGGACTGTCCCAGTCGCGGTAGATCTGGAGGAGCTCCGCCTTACGCCCGTAATACAGTTTCTCGAAGCAGGCTGCCCGAGCCTGAAGAATGGCACACTCGTGACACTCGTCCTCGTGGGCGAGCTGAATCCCGTAAACGTTCCGCATATCATCGAATTGCGCCTCGTTCAGGCCGGCGTCGATCATCCGACGGGTCACCCGACGTTCGAAGACGCTTTCCCGATTGCTGTCCGAAGACGCGTCGTCGGGACGAGAGTCGCTGGCAGGCAGGTCCTCGACCGCCGGCTCCTCCTCGACCGCGGGCTCCTCTGGCGTCGGCACGTCCTGCAACGTTAAAAGCGAGAAGCGCCTCCGCGCCCGCCTGCCGCCGCTTGCACTTGCCCAACTCCTTGTCCACGCCGCTCGCGTGCGTCTCGAGCCGCTTGCCGTACACGACCGCCTGCTCGAGTCGCGCGCCCGCCAGCTCGCCGCGTAGGTCCCACACAAGGTACGCCAGCGCAGCCTTCTTCAGGTTCTTTATCTGGAGAGCCATCAGCGCGCCGCGCCGCTGCGACAAAAAGAGCGTGTTTACGGCAGCTTTCGCGGCGATGATGATGCCGTTGGTGACCTCGCCGACGATGCTGACCTCGTTGGAGGGTGCGGGGACGGGATGGTTGCCGAGGAGCATGGTCTCGAGGCGATTTCAGAGCGCGGTGGGCTCCAAGGCGAGCTGCGCCGAACTGGAGCGAGTCGGCCGCGCCCGAATTGCTGGCGCCGCATCGGCGCCGGTCGAGTCCGACACGACCGCGGTCTTCTCCACCGGCTCGAGGTTCGCCATCCGCGGCGCTGCACCGCGGATTCGAACGGCTGCTCGCTCCTGCTCGGCGGCTGGCCAGTCAGCAGGGCGCTTCGAGAGGGCGGTCGCCGTCAGTGCACGTTGACTATCATGGCGAGCGAGCAGCCCCGCAGTGAGTGGATGCAGCCCACCGGAGGTACTGTCTGAGGTGGGGCCCGGCGCGTGAGGCTCGTCGGCGTCCGCCATCACCGCCTGCGGCCACTGCAGAGTCGGCCAAACCAGGCTCGATTTTGGCCATTTTGGCACGGTCCCTTGCGGACTCTTCACAGCTGGGGCCCGGTGCACCCGGGACAACCGTCGCGCTCAAATACTCGAGAGCGCGCCCGCCGTTTGACAGAGATTTTTGAAAACCAACAAGAAATCACTAAGCCGCACGAGTGATTTGGGCTCGGCAGCTTGTCAGCCCTCAGCCGAAGTCCCGTAGCCGAGAGAGCATGCGGGATGGCTTAGCGGGTTCGAGCCGTCACACATTGGCTGCCGGGGTGTGCCGAGGGGGGCTGGGTGGGCGGTAAGCCGTCATTGCCCGGCGCTGCTTGCAGCGGCTCTGGGTGGTAGTGGCGGCGCTCCAAGAGTGGTGCTCTTGCGTCTTGGGGTCGAAGAGGTTCCTCCTTTCCGCTCCCCCCCCCCCGCAAAACGCGAGACACAATTGCTTTTGGGTGTGCCATTGAGCGCCATATGCGCAGGTGCGTATGTCAACATACGCGCCTGCACGTGTGAGCGCTCATATTGACTAATATTCGCGTCTGCATGTGTGGGAGCGTATGCTGACCGCCACGCACCCACGCCGACACCGCGAGCATTAGCTAAGATAGGCGTCACAAGCGTGGGCGCTCATCTCAAGATACGCAGCTACACGTGTAGGCGCGAGCCTTACTCAAGATAAGCGCCCAGACACGAAGACGCGTATCTGGGCTACCTGGACGCAGACGCGCATCCTCATTCATGCGTGGGCGCTCATCTTAGTTAATACTCGCGTCCACACATGCAGGTGCGTATATGGGCTCGGTGCACATGAGCACTTACACGTCAGGGCGCGAGCCTTAGCTAAGATACGCGCCTACACGTGTGGGTGGTCATTTTTGACCCACTTCCGGGTTTGCCCGCCGAGCGCCGTACCCCCAAGATGCTTACTTCGCCGAGCCGTACCTAGGTATGCGGTCGGCGGCCTCGCTGTTCGTGTTCGCGGCCTGGCTGGCGCCGTGCCACTGTTTTGCACCCGCGCCCGATGCTCCCTCGCCGCTGCTGCTCACTCCCATGCTTGAGGCGGGCAAGGCGCTCGAGGCCCGAGAGGTCTCCAAAGTCGTGATTGATGGAGCGTTCAAAGGCCACGCTGGATACCTCTCCGTTGCCAGCGCATCCGGCAAGCGGACCAACCATCTGTGGTTTTGGTATCAGCCGTGCCGCAATGGCTGCACGCACGGCGAGGCGATCCTCACGCAGTACTTTGCGGGCGGGCCCGGTTCTGGGTCGCAAGGCCCCGCCTTCAACGAGATGGGCAACTTCTTTGTCGATGACAAGGGGCTCCTTCAGGACCGTTGCTATTCGTGGTGCCTGGACAACGACTGCCTGTTCGTCGACAACCCAATCCAGGCGGGACTCTCGTACCAGGTCGACGAGGCGGGAGAGGTCGTGCCGCTCCTCGATACAGAGTGGGCGAATTCGGAAGAGGGAACCAGGCAGCAGGTCGCCATCCTCCTCCAAGTATACAAGCTCTTCCCTGAGCTCAAGCCGGCGCCTTTCTGGATCACCGGCGAGTCGTATGCCGGCAACTACTGCCCGTGGTTTGCCAAGGCGGTCCTCGCCCACAACGCGGCCGCGGCCGACGACGCCAAGATCAACCTCAAGGGGCTCAGCGTGGGGGACCCATGCTTAGGCTGGTCTGTCCAAACCAAACACTACGGCGACTACCTGTGGGCGACGGGCTTGATCCACAAGGACGGGGCGGAGAAGATCGACGAGCTCTTTGCCAGCTCGCGAGAGCACCTCAAGGACAACAACTGCCCGGCCTTCTTTGCCAAGTGGAACTCCGTATGGAATGACGATGGCGCCTTCGACGGTGCGCCCGACTTCCTCTTCGAAACGCTGACCGGCTCCACCGCCACCGACATCATCCTGGTCGGCGGCGGGCGAGACGCTCAGGGGAACTATCAAGACTTTCTCGCGCGCCACAGCAAGGCCATGCACTTTGACGGCACGCCCGCTGCGGATTACATCAGCGACGGCTCTTCCCTTGGCGGATGGTTCACTACGAAGCGCAAGGCGATCTACAAGGCGTACGTCGAGAGTGGCGACTTCTGCCAGGAGACTGCGCCGATGTACTTCACGGAGCTGCTTCCCGCCGGGCTCGACATTCACATCTACTCGTCAAACATGGACGCCCTGCTGGGGCCGCACACCACTGAGCCGGGTATCACCATGGGCCTGGAGGCGGCGGGTCTGAAGGAGGACTTCTACGAGCAGAAAAGGACGATCTGGAAGCGTTCGCCGGACTCAAGGCAGCCCGTGGGTTACAGCCGTTGCGCGGCGCTCGGCGGCCGCTTTTGTTACTCGGTGATCCGCAACGCCGGCCACGAGACGCCGATGTTCCAGCCCGCGTCGGCGTACGACATGACGAAGCGCTTCTTTGACGGCCGCGCCTTTGACAACTCGTACCACGACCCCAACCCGCCCGTCTGCACGCTGCCACAAAAGAGCTTTGACGTGTCCATCGCGGGATACGAAATCGATCCGGCGTAGGAGCGCGCGGGACGATTCTCCTCTCTTGCTCCGCCACTTCTCACTTCTCGTGAGAGCAGGTTGGGACATGGTTCGGTGGGGGAGTGGGGGTGGTGCACATCTGATTATGTGTTGGGTGATTATCTGTCCGGTCCCCTACAACCAGACACACCGGACACCGCACCGCGCGGACACGGCACACGCGATTCGAACCGACCATAAATACGGCTTTTCAATCTCCAGATGACAGCCGCTAAGATTATACGCAAAACCTTAAATTCTTTTTGAGCTAGACTTCGATGTTATAATTTGTCTTGAATTCTTTTTCTGTGTTAGTGCCAGTGCGCGCCAGTCCCGTGCCCAGTGTTGTGCGACGCAAGCAGGCCCGAAAAATCTTTTTCCGAGCTGTGAGAGTCATTTCATTTAAATTCTTTATCCGAGCGGTTTCCTCTTTGAAGCGCATCCTCCGATGAAGCGCAGAAGGGCGCCGGAGGTGGAGGTGGGCATATCGGAGTCGGCCGACAGCGTCTCGGCGCTCAGTGCCATCTCCGCGCTGCAGGCGATGGCGCGGCTCCACCTCCCTAATTGCACGGTATGCTCGCTCACGCCCTTTGAGCGTCTCTCCGCCGCAGGAAATGGCGTGCTCCCCGCACCGCATGCACTCGTCCAGCAGCGTGGGATCCATCAGCGGCGGCCGTACCCTGCCGCCGCAGCGCTCTCTATTCGAAGCGGCCAATCCCACCGCCGCTTCGGCAGAGGGCGTCGACAGTGACGGCTCCACCGCCGCCACTCTCCTCGTGGTTGGGTTTGACGTCCCCTCGCCGCGGAGCGCGTCGCCGACGTCGCGACAGGTGCCCCTAGACCCCGCCTCAGCCCCACTCCCCCGCCCCGCAAACCCTCCGTTCGACCGCACCGCCACCACGCTTGTGCTCCGGCGGTCCGCTCGACAGACTGTCTGTGCGTCGACAGGAGGTGCCGTGGCGGCAGCGGCGGCCGCAGCGGCAGCGGCGGCCGCCGGACCACGGACCGTCGCCCGGGCGGCAGCGCGGGCGGGGCGCGGGCGGCGCGCTTGCACGCCTCGACGAACGTCGTCATGGACCTGGAGCGGCCCGAGGACGAGACGGCGGCGCTGCTGCAGCGCTGCGTGCACGTCTCCGACGAGACGAAGCGGCGGCTGCTGGGCGAGTGGAGCGACGAGCGCATGGCGCACGCGCTGCCGCTGCACGCATGCGCCTCGTGCGGCGTGCGCGACCCGTCGCTGACGTACACGCGGGTTGACGTGTCGGCGCTGCCGCGTACTGTGTCTGTGCGCGTAGCCGGCGGCGAAGACGAGACGCGGCACGTGTTTGAGCTCTCGCCCGAGCAGTGCGCTAAGTATCGAGGTCTTCAAAACAAAAAGGTGCGCCTTGCGTTTCCCAACGGCGCGAAAGGAGTTGCGGTGTTGATCGCCGCGGGAGCCCTCTTATCAAACGAACACCAGAAGAATTTTACAAACCCGCACGACACTTGGGTTGTGTCTGTTTTGTAGTCGGTGTTCTTTCTTTCTTTCTTCTGGGCAAGAAGAATTGCGAATCTCGTTTTTTCTGGGAGCACGAGCAGGGTCCAGGGAAGGTACGTGACAGGTCCAAAAACATGTCCACAACAAAACAAACCCTCCAGCGGCC